GCGGGGCAAGCAGGGAAGAATTGAAGGTGCTTGCCCTCAGCAGTAGCATGGTGTGTGTGCGCGCACGCGCTCATGTTCACAGAATAACACTGAGTTAGCAAGAGCTCTATGTAAATGATAATAGCAAAGAGCATTTTAATGGGAAGAAAGATGTAGAGGGGCCTCTGGCACTACCAGATACCAAAACAGAGCATGAAGCCACAAGGTCAAAGTGCTTTCTTCTGTAGGAATGGAGAGTTCAGAGGCAGACTCAGAATGACAGGTTTTCAGGGGTAGAGGTTTGCAAGCAGCCTGATGAAAAAAGAACATTCCTGACCTCATCCCCCAGCAGCCCGGGAATCCAGGAGACAGTGACTAGACTGGTAATCCCATCAACCCCTGGGGAGCCAAGATCTGAAAGAACACATTCTCCTCCACAGGGGAGCTTGTTTCTAAATTATAGCAATATGCTAAAGCAAAAGGCTTCTTCATAGATGCACAGCCTAATAAAATGCTCACTGATTCTCTGGACAACATAAGGGGCCCTAACTTCATCAGAGTTCTCTCATGCTGAAAAGTGAATCAGTGAAAGAAGTAACCAGACCTACTGCAGAAGCTCAGCTTACCCGGGAAGTCAGATATATGTGTGTGCATATACATATGTATGTATATCTATATCTATATCTATATCTATCTCTATCTGTATCTATATAACTATAGATAGATAATATCAAGATAACATACATTAAGACATATGAAGATAATATATAAGATACATATATAAAGATACAATATATTAAAATAATATATATTAACTACATATATTATGATATATATGGTAAATAGCAAAGCCATGGAAAATGTGGTAGTTTTTTCTACATAGAAACTAAAACTCTATCATAGCCAACCTCACACACGAACAAAGCAAAAAGAAGGCAGGAGAATTGGGAGAGCAATCTATGAAATGTTTGAGACAGGAGTATAATATTTTCTAAATGTAAAACATTTAAGTATCAATGACAAATAACCACAAATAGAAAAACAGGCACCGGGCGCTCAGCCCCTGATCACAAAAGGAGAGTCAGCGACGCATATGAAACACTCGGCAGGTTACGTCCTCTGACCCAGCAAGGCCGACTCAAGATGTGTGTCCGAAGCAAGAATAAATTTAGCAAAGATGTGTGTCTAAAAATGTGCAAGTGTTTACTACAGCGTTATTTTTAGTAACAGGAATTGGAAACAGTCTTTATTCGTATCTCGGAGGACGAATTCAATTCGCTGTGGTAAATGCAGAGAACGGAATGTCCCCGCCCTTCAGTGGGTGTGCAGTGAGAGTCTGTGAAATATGATGTGAAGCACCTTTTTCAGACAAAATAAGACAACGCACGAAGCACCTGGACAGGGCTCCTACCTGGCCAGGAGCCCACGCCCAGCCTCTCACCTGGAGGTAGCATTGCAGGCTCAGGTGGCTGTGGCAGGCTCCCGTGGGCGCATCCCCTTCTTCCTCCTGTTTACAGCTCCCCTGGCTGATGGCCTCAAGGCTTCAAGGACAGAAATACTTGCAGGAACATTTCCAGGACTCCTGGCCTCCAGTATCAAGCCTGAGGCGTAGGAAGTTCTTTAGAAACTTGTTCTCAGTGACACCAGGAAACAGCAGACAGGCAGGAGGGACAGGGACTTGCTGATATCAGGCTTCTATCTCTTCCCCCCAGCCATCCGCTGACAGCTCATGCCTTTCTCCTCTAGAACTCCCGGGACTTCAATGCTTTTCCCTCTGCATTGTGGTTAGTTAGTGAGGAGAGAGCCCCGCCTCCACTGTAAGCAAAAGAATGTGGGCTTTGCAGAGACTTGAGTTCAAATCCAGCCCACCTTGACTCGTTGTGGGGCCTCCAGTCGCAGCACTTTCATGGCAGCACAGACCCTACAGAGCCAGGGTGGGCACCCAGGGAGGCAGACCCCACCCCGGGGCCCCCCTGCCAAGTGTGCCCCACCTTGGTAGGACTCAGCAGGGACCTTTCTCAAGAGAATGAGAAGTAAGCTGAAAACAAACTCGGGTTCTCTCCTGACTCAAAGTCAAGCCTACGATTGGGCATGCGGAGTGTGAAATCTGACACATTTGGCTCATTGAAGCCACTTTACTAAGTTTCCCATTTGCTTACATCTCTGCAACCACGTTTTCCTCTCCTCCCACTCCTGAAGCCACACTCCCTGATCTCTAGGGACCTTTTCAAGTCTCCCTTCCTGTAATGTTTCTCTTCATCCTGAGCTCCAGCCCGCCATTCTCTCCCTTCATCTCCTCCCAGAGGAACCATTCCACCCTGAACAGAAAGCTAAGGTGTCCTCCAAGTTCAAAGTTGCACAACCATGGGCACGACTACGTAAACAGACGTTCCTTTACCAACATCGATCAGATTTTAGATGTCTGCATAAACAGACTGGAACTCTTTATCTTCCTGCACTTATGAAAACCAGAAATTAAAATATCTGTTATCTTTTAACTGGAATGCTAAGATCCTCTGGCTCACAGATTACCATCCAGGATGCATTTCATTCATGGAGGCTACAAAATCCATTTCCCTCCTGCTGCAGCCCACCCTTGACGTCATCTCTGAGTCACCTTTTTTAACCCCTCGTATTCACTCACTACATACTGAAATGTGCAAGAAACTATTTTTAAAAGCAGCCTCTCCACCTGCATGCTCCCCATCCTGGTCCCCAAAGCACCCATTTGGGTCAGAGAGGCACCTCCTGGCTCCCCCACACCTGCCCTTGGGTGCACTTTCCTAAGAATGACTTTCTGAGTGACGACATTGGCAGGTGCTTTTCCGGTCACCTCACTCAGTCCTTCGACATAAACATCACAGGGAGTGACTACTGGATCCCACTACGTGCCTACACTTCCCTGATGCTTTACATCAGGGGTCCTCAAACTACGGCCCGCGGGCCACATGCAAATACAAATATTGTATTTGTTCCCGTTTTGTTTTTTTACTTCAAAATAAGATATGTGCAGTGTGCATAGGAATTTGTTCATAGTTTTTTTTAAACTATCGTCCGGCCCTCCAACGGTCTGAGGGACAGTGAACTGGCCCCCTGTTTAAAAAGTTTGAGGACCCCTGCTTTACATGTTTCATTCGTTAACTTTTTAAAAACCTTAGACAATAGGGATGGCTACTGTTCTCACATTTGAGGACATGGGGAGGGGTGCCGAGGACGGAGGGTCTGCTCCCAGCTGGGGGTTGTCTTCATGAGCGGGGGTGGGGATGGAGAGAGGCCCAGGCTGCAGTTGGTGCAGAAGCAGCCATCACCCTGCTGAGCTGCAGAGGGGTGGGTGTGGTTTGACGAAACTGAGTAGTTAAGCAATTTGCCCATTGTCCCCACAACATTTTGTAGCAAAATCAGGATTTGAACCCAGATGTTTGATGGTAGAGCCTACACTTTCACCTCAACAACTCACAGCAGCAAAGAAGCCAACTGAACTTAGGTGAACCCACGGTTTCTCAAACCAAGGTGGGCGGGGCGGAGTGCCAGGCAGTGCCCCAGGGAAGGAAATTGGAAGGAGCTAACAAAACTACATATGCATGTGCCCTTAGACCCAGCAATTCGAGTCCTAGGAGTTGTTTGTGAACATGGATTTCCACAAGTACAACTCAACATAGGAACAGGTTTTGAATAACTGTGGCACTATTTATAACAGCAAAACATGGGAGCAGCTTAATACTCACCCATGAGAAGCTGGCTGAATAAACTGAGATATATCCATGTAATGGGATACTAAAAAGAGGGAGGAAGAGCCCTCTGAACTCAGAGAGTGACTTCTGGGATATATTTTAAATTTATTTTAAAGTTATATATTTAAAAAAGTACAGAAGAGTGTGTACAGCATGCTGCCCTTTCTATAAGAAAAGGATACTTTAAGAAAAAAGAAGTATAACTATCTATTTCCTTATTTTTGTAAGAAGTGATCTAGAAGAAATAAATCATAAACCAATGACAATATTTGCATGTGGGGTTGGTGGGAAGTGGGTGGGGTGTACAGATAGGAATGGCACTTCTCTGAGCGTACCTCTTTACGTGATTTTGACTTGTGAGTTATGTACGTGTTTTATATAGTCAAAAGACAACATAAATAAAAGGATGAAAAAAATCAAACCAAAATTTACTACAAACAATTTTATCTCTAAGCTTTAGTGCTAAAGCCATATTCTAAACACCAAAATAATTGCAAAAAGAAAACAATATGCCAAAAAAAAAGCAATCTTGGACTTTACTTAGTAGTAAAGTAGGACCAGCTTGTTGGTTGTGGCCCTCGTCACTCATCTAGTGATTCTAAAACTATTCTGTGGAAGTTGTAGGGCAGAGGAAACGAGTAGATATGTTTACTCTGGTGTCGTAGAGAACCAGGAGCCTCACTGTGAGGAAGATACACAAATATGGAGTGTGGACAGGAGAAGAGGAACTCTGTGTTCCTGAGCTAATACTGACATTATTGGGGTGAACTTGTGGGGGCTAGAAACGTGTTTCCTAGCTCTGCGCACTTTTGATGGGCCCAGAGCAGTGACAGCCCAGTAGGCACGCACACACCCACCCACCGCCCACCCCGGCTTGGTTTCTAGACCACATCCTCTAGCAAAGAACCCGGGCTCCTTGAGAAACCGCTGACTGTGGCTGGGACAAGGAAAATGCAGGACCCCTCTCTAACTCTGTCTGGGCCCAAAGTAAAAAAGTCCCTGTGCAAAGCACACAGAGCACCGCCCCCTCTGCAGCTCAGCAGGTGTCGGCTGCTTCTGCACCACCTGCAGCCTCAGCATCTCTGCACCCCCACCTCCCATCATGAAGACGCTGCACCCAATTCGGAGCAGACTCTCCTTCCTCGACACCCCTACCCAGCTCCTCACCAAGTGAAAGTCTACAACTAACAGCTCCAACAGCAGTGCCCTGCGCTTTACCATCGTGGGTGGGCAGCAAGTGTCAAAACACCCAACTTTGTTGCACTCCTGGCTGTGTTTCTGGTCTTGAATGAGGGGTCAACACCTCCATCCCAGGACCCTCCAGCACACATACACATGAGATAAACCATGTGTAAATTTATGCTCTGAAACACTTTTTGATGATGATGGTGCTGGACCATGCTTCTGGAGCCTCTTCTGAGATTCATACAGCAGATGGCCTTTCAGAATACATTCCACCTGGTGCCTTCCACCTCGCTCTGCTGGTCCCTCGTTCTCAAATCTGTTTTTTCTTATGCCACATTCCTAAATAACAAGCCTGTTCCATTCCTTCTTGGTTTCTCTACTTTGCACATTATCTTTTGCCCCCTTGTAGTATAGTGTCTCTTGTATATGTGAAACGTCTGTTCAAACTCAGACCAGGCAAACGGTGATGGAGCGATTGTTCAGAAATGCGGGTGCACCTTCTCCTGAGCTGTCTGACCCTCATCGGACACTCTGGGGACGGAGCCTTGTTCACAAAATACTGCACAGTCCACAGTAGATGAGGTGTCTTCTTTCACGCACGTCCACGTTACTTCCTCCTCCCACCCTCATGGCTTTTTAAAGTTGGCATTATTGGTGACATCATCATGATATGTAAATGCTGATCACTCCTTTTTTGTTGTTGTTGTTAATTCTCACCCAAAGATATTTTTCCATTGATTTTTTTTTTAGAGAGAATGGAAAGGCAGAAGGGGGAGAGAAACATTGATATGAGAGAGACATATCAGTTGGTTGCCTCCCACACCCACTCGGACCAGGGCCAGGAATCAAACCTGCAACCCAGGTAATTGATCTTGACTGGGAATCAAACCTTTGGTGCCCATGCCAATGCTCTAACCACTGAGAACACTTGCCATGGCCGTTCATCCCTTTTTTGAACACGGTATTTTTGTTTTTGTTTTATTGCCACGTGCCGTCCTGTCTCTTCTTAAACATGGGACATTCTCTGGCCACGGTGTCCACACCATGAACACCAGGCTCTTGAACCCCCCTGCAAATATCCCAGCGTGGTTTTGCAGCAAGAACCACAGCTGGAAGGGCATGAGCTCTGCTGAGAATGAGGAATCATCCCAGAATCCACGCAGCTCAGCCACAGTATGTCTGGACAAGGGCCTGACGCATCCCTGAACTTGAGTCTACTTGTAGTGTTCATCTCAACCATGCGTCTTTGTTAGCTGGGTCCACTAAAGAGGAGCTGGGTTCGGGACCCTCACTGTTTAAGTAAATCTGGCACTAGATAAGACATGAATTCCCTCCTTGTATTACCAATAGATGGGAGAAAAGAGCCTGCACCACTTTTATGTGGCTCTGTAGACAGTGTTACCTTAATTTTGGAGTGCTCGAAATACATCAGCAGCATTCTATATTTGATCACATGATGGACACAGAGACTTCTTTTACTTTAGCAACCACAGAATGAAGTTGGGTTACTTCTCTGAGTCCAAAGATCTGAGGCCCTTGGAGAGGAGGTGGAGGCAGAGAATGAAGAAGGACCATTACAGGGTGTGCTCTAGTGCTGGCCATCACGAAGTGCACTCAGCTAGGCTGCAATTTTGACAAGGTCCGCTGGTGTGAGGGCAAAATTTTTGCCCACTGAAGATTTGAAAACATTTTAGAAGAGCTGATGAACATAAACTCCTTATAGTATAGTTTTTTTTTTTTTCAACATCAATGACTTATCTCTTC